GTAGGGGAAAGGAAAGAAGGGAAAGGAAAAATTATGAGAAAAAGAAAAAATGGAAACAAAGTCTTTGTAAATAGGGAAGGGTGGAGGGGCTGGAGTGCAGGGAATGGGGAAAAAATAAGAACCAAGATACATCATGTAAAGTACAAGTTCCCAATGAGAAATGTAAAGGTATTGTATACCTAAAATGTACCAATAAAACAATTTTCTTTATAAAAAGTAAGCCAGAACATTTATTCCCAATTAGCTTGTAAACTATAAAGAAACTGTGTAGGGTACACAAGAAACTAAGAAGTGTAAATACCTATGGTGTAGGTAGAAACTTGTCTGGGTGAGAGCAGAAAAAGGATGGAAGGTGACTGCTCACTGTGTCTATGTCTACACTTTTATTCTCTTCAGGTTTTAGACTGTTATAAAAATTTAATCAAATAGTTTTTTAAAATTCAATTTTCTAGAACCAGTCTGTGATAGTTAATTGTGATGTTGACTTGAATGGATTAAGAAATTCCTGGTGGATTACTGGAGCACAGTTTTGGGTATGTTGGTGGATAACTGACAGGTGGGCCACACATTGAGGAGGGAAGACTCATCCCAGATGTGGGTGGCACCTACCACTAAGCTTGAGGTCTGGATGGAGTAAAGAAGGAAGTCTGCCCTAGCTGTAGTCTTATCATCTTTGGACACTGGTGTCCAGTTCCTTCAGCCTTCTAGTGCAGACCCTTTAGCTTTCTGACATGGACGCACACCATGCTTGAGAATGAGCTCCAAGCCTTGGACTTTAAATTGCATCCCCCAGCTCTTCAGTGTACAGATGAATATTTTGCATTCTTTCACCCTGACTCTGTAGGCAGCCATTATAAGTTTACTTTGTAAATTTTTTATATATCATATCATATCATATATTATATTATATCTGTTCCTCTAGTGAACCTTAAGAGATACACAGCCAATGTGGCCTGCGGTCAGTTTTATTGGCTTCACCCTAGACCTGTTAGAGTTATCATGGGCCACTGTCTGTTTATTAAAAATATTTTTCATGTAGTTACTTCCTCGTGTCCCAAACATTGTTTCGTTTAGGAGAAGTAAAATAGATACGGATCTCCTCGACGAGGGCAAGATTGCTTACCAGGTAAGCAGAGAACAGTGGATAGTATGGGCCTAGTTTATGACTCTATTTCTGCCTCCAACTCACTGTCCTTGACCTTGATTGGTCAAGTTCCTTCTTTTGCCTATAAAAGTAAACTGTAAATTAAAGATGTTGATCTAGAGTCTGTTCTTTTCAGGTATTTAGTTTTAAGATGAATAACAAAGGACAAATCCTCATTTTGACTCACCTTCTCATTTTCTTTCCTTCCCTCACCACGTTCTTCCTTTTAAAAATATTTAAGAAGTACCTATTTTGTGCATGCTATGATACTATGTGCTTTAGCGATACAAAGATAAAAGACAGAGAGCCCGCCGTCAAAGAGCTCAGGGTGAGGGAGAGAGGAGACCAAAGGCAATTATAATACAAAGGGAAAGGTCTATGGTCAACTAAATCCCACCCACAATGCTCCCAGAAATAAAGAATGCCAACATGACTCTATGGGAGAGAATTTGGAATCACTGAGATGCTCAGTATTAATAAATAATATGCCGAATGCCTTATTTTCCTCAAAACTCAAATATATCTACTGCTTAAGCCCTGAGGATCCTTGACAGCTTTCCCTTTCTCTGGCTTTTTTTCTTTGTCAACTTTAGTCTTTTCCCTTTCAACTCTGTGGTCTTTGCCTTCATCAAGACCCATTTTACTTCTGGCTTGGATTTATTCTGGAATGTCATAGCTGGTCTTCACATTTCTCATTTCTTCTTAACCCAGTTTATCCGGTATAATTTGGTGGTCAAATGTAACCAAAATACCTCATTTCATTTACTCCTGAACAATCAGTCTCTGAATATGAAAATGTCAATGAGCAAATGCATGATAAACTGTGCTTTTCAAAATTTGGCCAATCGAGCTCTCTAATATGTGGTATTCCCCTGGGTATTACATTCAATAAAAAATGGTGAATGGTGGGTGATTCCCCCATCAAGGCACTTTGAGATTTTGCCACACTCCCTTAACATCAAAGAATACCTGTTTGATCTTGAGGCAGTGACACACACTACATTGTATTTTAGGTATATTAAATGTTCAGTAACTCATTCCTAAACAGGGCATTTGATTTAACCAAGAAACCTAGTTCCATGACTTGAAAGCAGAGTAACACCATCCAATTAATATTTTTTCTTCTGCAACAAATTTTCAAGATTGTAGATATGTGTATTTTGTCATTGGAGAAAGAAATGACTGTAATTTTAAAAATATGAGATTTTAAAATAATTCATGTATAACTTTTACTGAGTTACCATGCACTTAAAAATTAGATAAATAACAACTACAAATAATTGCCAAATGCAAGTCCACACAGGCTAGAATATATATCACTGTAATCACCTGTTCAGGAAGAAATTCAAAACAGTTGGGAAAATCGCTTAGCAGATTATACAATGGGTATTTGGGAATTTTAAATGTGTCTCAATGGAAGCACAAGTATTTATCTTCTCTATTTCCCAGTACAATATACAGTCAATAAACATTTCCCTCTAATATTAGTGCAAGGTACTTATAATATCACCATTAGAACTTAATTCTTTTTCTTTCTTTTTTTTTATGTACCGGGGATTGAACTAGGGTCCTTGTGCTTGCAAAGCAGGCAGCGGAACCACTGAGCTAAATCCCTGGCAGAACTTAATTCTTTAGCAAATCCTTTTCCACTGTCTTGGAATGATTTGCTTCTATCCTGACTATTGGGGTCCACATGTGATCAAAGCTAATTTTACATTGGATAGTGTCCAAGTCACCTCTATGTCTTGCTAGGCACTCAACAGACTTGCTCAACACAGAGAAAAAAGTGGATATTTTAACCAGAAAGCTCAGGGAATCTCAGAATTTAGAAACTAAGTGGGACCACAGCTCTACTTACATTTGCCAGAATTTCTTTTGGTGAAGGGTCTAAAAATTTCCCAAATTCCCCAAGCTATTCTTGAGGAAATGAGAGTACTTTTAAATGTCAAAATTATGAATTATTATTTAGTTTCCTGTTCCCTTTGTTAGCCTTTCTATCTTCATATTTGAGATCAGAGCCTCGCTAGTTCTCTTGAACCATTCACAGTGACAGGCCCTGCACTACAGCCGGGTGTGAAAGTAGAAACCTGCTAGACTCTGGAAGTGCAGGGACAGTCCATTCTCTGTGCCTTCTTTCCTTTCCTGGCTGAAAGTGGTGATGGAAAAGGAATTCTATCCTCTAGCAGAGATCAATACTCTTTCTTCCCACATACATTTTCTCTTTCCAAACAAATGAGACCAAAGACACAAGGAAATGTCCTCTTGGAGAATCATCTTTGCCTTTGGCCTTTCATTTTCTGCTTTCATGAGTATAGTAAGGGTGGGCACCACCACCACTGCCAACTGTTACCAGCCCTACATATCACTGACTTCAGGTGGGAATATAATTGTATATCTTAAAGAGCAAGGAATAGCTTAGGAAAGGTCACTCCCCAAAGACACATCAAAGCAAGGCCCCAAGTCATGGTGCACCCTGACTTGTCTGGCATGGAACTCATGCTCAGCTGGCAGGCCTCCCATCAACAGCTGGTGTGGGGCCATTTCTAGTACCTTTGTGTGTGGCCTGATGAGGATGAGGCCATCTCTGGAACCTGTGTCCTGTGCTGGGCCTGCTTCCTGTCAGCTTCCCATGTGGAAGTTCCAATGGCTGGCAGCTGTGCTGCTTCTCTCTTTTCCCAGGGGACAATTTCTCTTCTTTATGGTGGCTCTTATGTTTCCAATCTTCCATGTTCCATTCACCTTACTTCACTGCAGACTTGCATTTGTTCCTGGAGCACACAAACACAAAGCCTGGTTACAAAGGTTTTGCGGGATTCATCCCCGTTCAGTCAGTAGGGCTGGCTGCTCACTTTTATTTGCCTCACTGTGGCCCTGATTCTAAAAGTCTGTTCAGCGTTCAAGTGTTTATATAATATTAATACCTCACCTTTATGGTATTTTTTTCCTTCCAATCCACCCCTCATAAGACCAGATATATCCAGACAGTTAACACACAGGCATTTGGGTAATTATTCTTGTGTAGACTCCATTCTTTGTTTTATAGTCCCATTCAACAATACTATCCACTAGAAAAGGAGCCAATGCATGTCCCCTCACTAACAAGTATTTTGAACTTGCCTCATTTTGGACATATTTATAAATTTTTAAAATCATATTTATAGTTTTCCACAAGTCTTACTAAAATAGAATTAATTTTCTCCCCTTTTTATTTGAGTCATACCTGGCCTTGAATGTAACTAGGTGGTTTAGGAATGGAATATGGCCCTGCTTGGAAAATAACTGCTGATTCTATTTAAAGGGTCGTGGATCACGGACAACACTACTATCCAAATTGCAGCATCATCTGTCTTCACATCTCCCAAACAATGAGCTCCAGCTGCATGGAATACCTTCATTTTTTACAGAATGGCCAGGACTTTGCAAATGATATTGGCCTGGATTAAATAACATCTCTTTTTTTGTTTTGCAAGCTCTACTTTATCTGCTGTGATTTCTCACCATAGCCATTACTTCTGCCACCTAAGCTTCCCTAACCACACGTCCTAAACTAGGTACCCTAAGATTTATCACACCCTGCTATTGCTTATTTGTTTTTCCTCCTGGACCGAAACCCCTAGAGGTCTCATACTGTGCTTGTTGTGCTTACCATTGTATGCATTGTGTGCTGTTTATTTAGTATATTGCCTGTCACGTACCAGTCACAAAATAAACTTTTGGGAGACAAATGGATGAACAACTGAATGAGTGAATGAATGATCAAGAGTACCATATACTATGTGATTATTATTTAGTCACTACCAAAAACAAATCACATCTATTAGCGTTGTGAAAGAAAGATATATAGAACATATTGAGTGAAAAATGCTAGTTCTATAAAAAGAAGCCTAGTTATAGCCATTTATAGAAAAGTATACTTTCTGGAGAAGGAGAGAAGAGGGAGGGGAGAGAAAGCGAGACAACAAAGCAAGAAGCTTACTGAAAATGTTAATTAACATTGGGATAGAAAAATTGGGGGAATGTATTTCTGTTACTTTTGTCTTTACACATTTCTATAATGCTTGAGTATCTCAGATGACAATAAATCATGTTTATATAAAACCTACCACTAAAGGCTATTAATTTTGAAAAAAAAATAAACAAATGCAAATGTTTGCATTTTGTTCTCCTGAAGCCTGCAGGATGGAAGTTCAGCTACTTGAGATAGAGCCATGAGTGGGTAGTGCACCCTCAGAGCTCTGTCTGCAGGATTTCCTGTACTTGTGAAGCACACAGGATGTAGCCTTTGCATGGAGAGTCTGGAAGGAATGAGGTCTCCACCTACCAAACAAAAATCTTCTTAATTCAGAGTTTGTTTTCCTCATCTCTACAGGAGATTTCTGCTGCTTTCTAATTAAAAACACAAAGAAACCACAATGAAATGAAAACTATGTGTTTCCTATGGTTTGGTTGTCCTTTTTTGTTTGAAAAGCATGTAACTGATCTTGGAGCTGCTATCTCAACAGCTACCATTTGTTTTTAGCTTTTTTTCCTCCCCCTACCAGCCTCAAAATAATAGGCAGGTAATTTGGTCTGTATTTGTACACTATAATTGAGGTTTCAAAATCTTGTTTGTGTATCCTCACCACAGGCTTGGCTGACTTTGGCGCTTGCAACATCCCTCGCTGGTAACATGGAGGCTAAGAAACACTAAGTCTTATGAAAAATACTGAAATTCTATTTTAGCACAAGAAAATGCAAACAAGCAACCTAGTTGTGTGTTAAAAGGGAAACAGCTAAATAAAATTTGGTACTACTCCATTACAAAAAAAGAAATTTAAAATAGGAACATAAAAGTAAGCCAGAACTGTTACCAACATTCATATAGTGTTGAGTGTGAAAAGCAAATTGCAGCCTGAAACATATAAATGATTCTATTAATAGAACAAATACATGCACACAAGCACTGTTTTATATCTCTTCTACAGGAACATATGTATATAAGCACACAGGAAATTCTGGAAAGGCGCACTACACTGAAAAGCTTTTACATAGAGCAGCAAAGTCTTACATGAGGACAAATATTCAGATGAAATTTGGCTTCAGTGTTTTCTATAAGGACAATATATTTATATGAAATTTTCATTAGCAGGAGTTAGTTTCTAAAACTATATAGCACTTTTAAAGCGCCTAAATATTGCTCAACACAAAGTACTAGACCAACAAATGGCAGTTGCTTTATTTTTTTAAATGCTGATTTAATTATCTTTTAAAGGCGCTAAAACATTGCCAAAATTAGCATATGTGTGTCAAAGATATATGTTAAAAAAGAAATTTCATTTGCCCATTTATAGACTTTTTAGGCTGGGGAGAAGCAGATAACACAAGATCAGGTGCTGATGCTATCAGAGCCTCAGAGCTTCTTAAAGAACAGAGGATTCTATCACAGCCTAAGCAAAACACATTTCACCTTTGTTTGCTTCTCAGTGGACCACACAGACAGAATGAATATTTTAAATATTCTGTTCATGCCCCCCAAAAGCTAGTATGACATTTCCACAGAAAAGAAACATCATACTACCTCTCAGAAGTATGTAAGTTCACGATTGTACAATTTGATAATTGAGAAATCCAATTGGCTTTCTCTGAGGCAGGGAAAATGGATTGGAGAGGAGATGGTGTTTGGGCTATGGCTTTCGGGCAGCCTGGTCAATAGCTCTAAAAGACCAGATTGATTGCAGGCTGGGAATGAGCTAGGAAGGACAGGGGCTAGGAGTAGATGGGAGAAACCAGGCTTCAGCTTGGCTGTCTCTCGCTTCTTTGCAGTAAAGCCTAAGGAAATCTTTGGATTCCAATTCTTTCCTACTGAGTATACCAGCATCTAAATATGCACCATTTCCCTGTCTCCAGGCTGATACTTCTCAGGCCTATATGCTTTCATCCTGATGGATCAGGATACATTATGAGAGGGGTGGCTCGTGTAATTTGTCATGAATAATAATTAAGACACTAAAATGTGTACATTATTTCTTTTATTTTTTTTCTTTCCCTAGAGATTAGTGGCTTTTTTTTTTTTTTTTTAGCAATATTAGTCTGCTCATTTGTCTTTCAATTTGCTTTCTTGAGTGGGCAATAAAGATTCACTGTCTTAAGGGCTGGAAAAACCTAAGAATATGGAAACCAGGGAAGGGTTCGAAGTTCTCTCGCCATGCTTTATTGCCCATCTTTCTCAGCTAAGCTGACCATGGTTCATATTCTGACTTTGCCATGTCCTACCTCTAAAACCTTGAGCAGGTGATAAAAGCTGTTTTAGATTCAGTTTCCTTGTGTGTCTAACAGGCGGCCACTGGCATCCCCAGGACACGGTGAATTTTCAGTATCAGTTGTTCTTTCCCTGTGGAATGTATGCCCCAAATGGGCTCAAAGAACAAGCCCTCTCTGCTCATATTTCACTCCTAACTTTATTTCCCAGATGGTTCAGTGAGTCATTTCTTAATAAACTCCAGTGCTTTTTATGTTTCTATTTTTCAGTGTGAATTTTATGGTGGCCTCTTTCTGTCTTCCTAAAGCTTCCAGCTTCTCTTGATTAATTTGTTTGTATCTGAATTCTACCACACTGTATGTATACTATCCTTACTGGAAAATATCCAGGACATAGGTAGAGAGGGTTCTTTCTCATGAAATTTGAGTTTCTAATCACCAAGCTTGACCAGTGTCACATTGAACACACCTGAAACCCAATAATTTTCCAAATGTAGTCAGTGTAGACAAGTCCTTTAGACCTACCTTGAGGCCCCTGCTCAAAAGGCCAATATGTCTGTACACTGGGGAGGAGAGCAGGTCTGATTCTGTTAGTCATATCCTCATGTCAGACACAAGGACATTTATTTGTGAAACATTTAGGAAAGGGGAGCAGCAGTCTGAATCCTGACCCACTGCCATTAGATCCCTCCTTTCTCCACCTACATGGTAGGATTCTAGAACTTCTAGTTCTCTGGATGATAAACTAAGGTAAGCTCCATGTTCTGGAGAAAGCAACTATTACTCCTGAACATGATACAAAACCCACTTGTAGAACCACCTTCAGAGGGGCCAAGAAGTGAACACAACACACAGATGGGGGAGGGTGCTGCCTAGGAGCAGGGAGCTACATAAGTAAGGACTCCTTTCCAAGGTTTCACTCTGAGACTGAACTGCTGCACAGAGGCAGGATAGAGTTGCATTAAAGTACCTGCAGTTCTTCCAGCCCAGGGAATCAGGAAGTGAAAGTGGGCAGTTCAGCTGGTTGCTAAAGAGAGTGACAGACCCTTCAAATGGGAACAAAGCCAGATAGAAAATCCCCAAACTCCATTTATCGCTATCTCTGCATAACCACGGAACTACCCAGGCATGGGTTAGATTTAGAGCAGCTAAACAATACAGACAAAAGATCTGCATACAGACCAAAGCTGTTGCCAAAGAAATAGAATTTGCAATTCAGGCCCAGCCAAGAAAAGTATGAACTAAAACAAAGAAAGCAACACTCATTGGGTAAAAATAATGGGTTCCAAAACCCTCCCTAGTATTCATAATGTGTAGCATATAACCTAAAGTTACATGACTGTCAAAGAGATAAGAGAAAAGAGTAGTCAACTGAGTGCAAACATGAGGTGAACCAAATGTTGAAACTAATATGCAATATTTTTAAAGTGCTATAAGGACCACTCTTAACAAAATAAAATATGTTTAAGGGAAAACCTCAGCAGACAAACAGAAATAAAGAAATGGAAATTCTAGAACTTGAAATATATAA